AATGGGGCGGGTCACGTGGGGAAGGGGGAGGGGGAGGGGGAGGGGTGGGATGGATAAGGCAAGGCGAGGGAAGAAGGGATGGAGGAATGAATGGATGGGTGGAGAGAAGAAGGGACAAGGCAAGGGAGGGAGAAGGATGGATGGATGACGAAAGAGGGATGGAGAGCATGGGAGGCAGGCAGCCATGCAGACTCCTGGAGGAGCCACGACACTGCCCCTCATGCCTCGTAAGGGTGCTGGCCTAATGGTTAGAGCACTGCGAGGCAGCAGGGGCCTGGGGCTGGGTCAGAGGATGGGAGACCGATCACCAAAACCGAAGGGAAATCTGGGGGCAGACCAGGGTGAGGAAGCCCAGCGCCGATCTGGGGGGCTGGTTCACAGGGCGAGGTCTGAGAACGGAGCGGAACCAGGGTCAGGAGCCGGGAAACGTATCTGCAGGGAAATCCAAAGCTGAAGTCCAGAAATAAGCCAACAACGTGGGTCAGGAAGCAGGAATCCCAGAGTGCAGGAGCCAGGAGATTTGCAACAGAACTGACCCTAAACTGGGGCCAGGTTTGGTAGCAGAGGCCTACTGCCAGGGTGGCTGCTGAGGCACTTGGCCCAGGGAGCCTGCCACATCCGTCCCTGACGTCCCTCTTGGCCTCACTAATACTTGGCCCTGAATCCTCAGTCTCTAACTCAGACATAAGCACAGAGCCAGGATCCCATGTGCTGGCCTTTGGGGCTCATGTTCCACCCACCTCCCCAGCAGAAGGGCTCTGCTGCACCTTGTGACGTGGAGGCAGAGCAAAGAGCAGGGACAAGAAATCAGGCGTTTTTTGGAGAAAAAGCTGCTTATTAAAACACATCCATACTCTTCTCACTGCACCAGCAACTGAGCAGCTGTAGTGTGAACCCAGCACCCTGCGGTCATGTCAAGGGCACCAATATTTAGCAGCATGCCTTTGCCTAAATACGTCCCCTGAAGAATATTTCTTGCAGAGAAGGAAGATTAATACCCCTGAAAGTGGAAATGCAATGTGGGAACACAAGAACAACACCAGCACAAATTTTCTGCGTTGCCGCAGCTTGGCCACTCATGCAAATGGCCAGCAGCACTTGTGAGATATCAAATGGGAAAAAATGTCCTAGTTTAAACCCAAGGTAAAAATAAGCAGTGAGAAAAAGAGTAGCTGAGGGTTTTCTTTTTAGTAAAAATGCGTGTGTTATAAACACAAGCTTTCCAAATCCCGGAGATCTCAATGTGAGGTGCTAAGTGGAGTAATTAAAAAAACCGCACTACACAAGAAGTAGCAAGTAACAGAGCAACAGTGTCAAAAAGAAAAAAAAAAGTTTGCAGCAGTAGATGAGATGATTGAAATGATCTAATGCTTCCAAAAGTGACACTGATCCCAAATCCTTACATGTACATAGTAATACGGACAAAATTCTGGTCGCAAAAATTAAACAAATATTGCAATGGCAATAATAAACTTTACAGGAGCCAAATTTAGGTGCTGTGGAAACAAGATGTTCCTAAGCTTAAAGCCAAGAGAAAGATCTCTCATTTTTGGTTTCCACAAAATACCAAACCCTAAGTTGGTATCTTTGTCTGAATGTAAGCATTTCCCTGCAGTGTTTGGAATTCACACATTACTTTTTGTAGTACAGGAGTAGACCCGACTGGCAACGAATTAAGTGAAACCCTTGCCTATTCCCTTATCCCAGCTGAAATGCAAAAGGTCGGCAACAATAAGAACAAAAAGCAGCTTAAATGTTTTCCTTGCTCCCCCGGGTCATTTATTTTAGTTATTGCTCATTTACGCATTGGGCTGGAAGGGACCTCAGAGGTGATCTAGTCCATCTTTGACTCTGGATGAAGCCCCCAATATGCATTGACTTGCAGGGGGAACTGGACCTGTGACTGCTCTCCATGCTTTTGAAAGCCCTTGCCTTGAACGTGAATGCCTTTGAGAGTCTTGCTTGCTTGGAACTATCATAATTGGTAGACATAATCCTGCAAAAAACATTGGTTTCCCAAGGTATGAACCGCAGCATAAATAAAAGCTTTGGAGAGATACTGAAGAGCCAACTGTAGAACAGATTCTCGGCTGCTGCAAGCAGGCCACAGGTTTACACCAGGCAAGAATCTCATCCTTCTCTCCGTGACATCAGTTTGCGTTGACGTACATCCACCGACGGCCATGAACTTCCTCCTAACTTACCTTGATGCAAAGTGATCCAGGGACAGGACTTTTTGGGAGACGAGCTCACGCAACTCAGAATATCCATGAGTTAACTTGCTCTAGGCTTGAAGTGCTTTGTTGCCCTCCTTATCCCCCATGGGACAGTGATGAGGAGGAAGAAATCGCTAGGACGAATCTCGGAATTTCCCACAATCATACTGAAAACATTTCATGATCTGAGATAGGTGGCTGCTGGGCTGGGAATACCAAAATCCTCTCCGAGAGCATGGCTATGCTAGAGGACACAGTGAGCACTTGATTTCATTCGTTCCTTCAGCTTCTTGGAGCAACAAGGGGCTTGACAGGAGTTGGTGAGTTGTTCCACTGAACTCCAGCGGGTTTCACAGGCGGACTTAAGTCTGGGCTGCACAGGGGCACAGAGGCATTCCTCGGCCATAAACGGGCTCTATTCTGTTATAGAAACTCCTTTATAAATGAAGAAAACTCTCTGCAAAGTGCATACATGACACTCATAGTTCAACACACAGGTCTTTGGTTTCTCTGTTACTCTACCTGCTTGCCTGGGGACACGACTATCCCTCATTGCTGTGCTGAGCAACTAGCCTCACAAATGTTTATCCTCACTCACCCTGTATATTAGTATAAATGGGGATCTGAGGCAGAGAGAGACTAAGTGACTTGCCCATGGTAACACAAGGAGTCTGTGGCAGAGCCCTGAAAGGCTCCATTAGTCTCATGCTTTTCTCACACAGCCGTCCACCTTGATTCAGATGCTCTGGAGGAATAAGCAGCTAAAAGATGATCCCCTGCTATCCCTGCTGCTCAAAGTGAATAATTCATTGGAAACTAAGCTAGGAGTCCAGGGTGACTGGCAGTTAACTTCAGGGCAGACTCTACCTCTTGCTCCATCCACATCTCTTGCCTGGGCTATCAGCAAGCCATCTAAGGTGCAGCAGATGCTGCTCCGAGGGTCCAGTTCGGATGCAGACAGTGCTATGTGGAGCCTTGCAAAGGGAAACGCTAGCTGGAAGCTGCTTTGTTGCACACAGTAGGAGGCTTTGGCTGAAAGCAGATAAGCTGAGATGTAACAGAGGCGTAATCTCTCGCTGCATGACGGGATGGTTTCTCCTTCTCCCAGACAGGGCAAGGGCAGAGTGGGGCTGACCCTTGCAGCTGATTATCAAGAGAAAGCCACTGCGGTTCCTCTGCTCTCTGCTGCCCTCTGCCACTCTCCTTCTCCTCCTCTGCGCAGATCCGTCTTCGCCTGGTCCTGCTTTCTGAACAGCTGGATTCAGAACTAACTTAGATTGGCAGCTCTCCAGCAGTGCTGAGATTCAGGGCTGCAGGCTGTCTTCTGCCCCGTCGGCTGGGAGCCAAGGAGATGCCCAAACCTGGCTGACCACCGTGGCAGGGGGCTGGCACTTGGCTTTATGTATGTACACCCTGCTGTACATAAAGCCAAGAGACACTGCTTGGCTTTATTAGTTGGTCTAATCAAAGATGTCATCTCCGGACTGAGAGTCGTAGAGTTTTGCATTTCTGCTTGGCTTTATGTGCATCTTGCTGTAAAGAAATCACTAGGACGAATCTCTGACTTGCCCACACACATACTGAAAACCTTTCATGATCTGAGATGGGTGTTTGCTGGACTGGGAATACCAAAAATCCTCCCGGAGAGCATGTTTAGTTATGCTAGAGGACACAGCGGGCGCTTGTATACGTGACGCCCGTAACACGTACATGTGATGAAAATGTCACGTTGAGTTTAATTTCTTGCAGTTTGTATGCCAAACCCTGCTTGCTTCCTTCCTGCCCCCCTCTCCTCCTCCTTCCTCTTTTGTTCATCTCCTTGCCTCTTGTATCCTGGCTTGAGCCATCTGAGGCAGGGTACGTCCCTCCACCCAGCGTTTGTTCAGCAGCCATCACACTGGGCCCCTTGGGCTGGGAACCCTGGGCATCGTTCTCATACAAATCTAAGCTAGGAAATAACAGTCATTGTTTATCAGATCCCCCCAGCACCTGCAGGCCTCAGCTGAGCTGTTGTGCTAGGTGCTGTACAGACCAGACACACTGTGGGAGACAGCTTGGAAAAAATGTACATGTGTAATAATTAATTATAGAAGGGGGAGAGGTGCTTGGACCTGACCTAGCCGCAGTATAGTCACATCTGCGAGGCTCTCAGCAGGGCTAATTAGTGTGCTGTGCCGCACAAACATTGCTATGCTGCTTCTGGCATGGGGGCCAGTGCTGAGGCTGGCAACCTATAGTCTGCGGTCTGTAAGAGATCATAACCAGACAGAGGTGGGACTCAGCAGGGATCTGGTGGCAGAAGGAATTGGTAGCAATCAGTGGCATTGATGGCAATGGAAATGCTCGTGGCCAGGTCAACCTGCAGAAAGGTTGCTGCCCCCAGAGCTAACGTATTCAGAGCCAGGGTGGGCACTTCTGCATGGCAGTGCCCAGCACGGTGCAGACATAGCCCCATGTCCCCAGAGGGGCAGATGCCGAAGGCTGCAATCCAGCCCCAGGGTGGTTCCACACTGGAGGGAGGTGAAAGAGGCCGACCTGTCAGAGGAAGGGTGCTCGTGGTCCAGGGAAGGGATGTACAGGATATGTGACAAACCTGTGACATGCTGC